ATACACTGCACTATACACTGCACTATACACTGCACTATACACTGCACTATACACTGCACTATACACTACACTACTATACACTACACTACTATACACTACACTATACACTACACACTTACACTATACACTCCACTATGCACTCCACTATACACTTACACTATACACTCCACTATACACTTTACACTATACACTCCACTATACACTTACACTATACACTTACACTATACACTCCACTATACACTTACACTTTACACTATACACTCCACTATACACTTACACTATACACTTACACTTTACACTCCACTATACACTTACACTATACACTCCACTATACACTTACACTTTACACTATACACTTACACTATACACTCCACTATGCACTTACACTATACACTCCACTATACACTTACACTATACACTCCACTATACACTTTACACTATACACTCCACTATACACTTTACACTATACACTCCACTATACACTTACACTATACACTCCACTATACACCCCACTATACACTCCACTATACACTTTACACTCCACTATACACTATACACTCCACTATACACTTACACTTTACACTCCACTATACACTTACACTTTACACTCCACTATACACTATACACTCCACTATACACTTACACTATACACTTACACTATACACTCCACTATACACTTTACACTATACACTCCACTATACACTTACACTTTACACTCCACTATACACTTACACTATACACTCCACTATACACTTTACACTCCACTATACACTTTACACTATACACTCCACTATACACTACTATACACTACACTATACACTACTACTATACACTACACACTTACACTATACAATCCACTATACACTACACTATACACTACGCTTTACACTATACACTGCACTATACACTGCACTATACACTGCACTATACACTGCACTATACACTGCACTATACACTGCACTATACACTGCACTATACACTACACTACTATACACTACACTACTATACACTACACTATACACTACACACTTACACTATACACTCCACTATACACTACACTATACACTACACTATACACTACACTATACATTACACTATACACTACACTATACACTGCACTATACACTGCACTATACACTACACTACTATACACTACACTTTACACTACACTTTACACTACACAATACACTACTATACACTACACTATACACTACAGACCAATTCAGACCTTGTTGGTGACTCCGTGCCCCTGATAAATCTCAAAGTTCATCCTACAAAGTCCAATCGTCACAAGGGAGAAACACAAAGAAATGGACACATTTAAAAAACAAATGTTTTACCCGTTTTGAAAGGGCCGTTCGCCGTATGGACCTGAAAACTCAATTTTTCCTGTACAACAATACGGCGTAAACCGTATGGTTTGACAGGAATGCCGCTTGGGGCGGTGGGGGGGGGGTTGGGGGGAGAGACAAAGGCGGCCGGGCGTGGAGCTTGCCACCCAAACCCCGTCGTGAGCCACGTCCGAGTTAACTCGCGGAGATGGTTCGACTCCGGGCGGTGTGGGGTGCACTCCCAATGATTCCGTTTTCACGTGTGGGTCAATGCCGACGTGATTCATTGCAAAGGGATTCTTCCGTTTGGTGTTTTAACACCTTGACGCGACTGTTTTATTATTTCGATTTAAAGCTTTCGTGGCTGCAGGGATTCATCTTCTTTGGTGCTTTCGGTAAAGTCACCACCACGTAGAATGAGAATAAAATAATAAATTGGTAAAATAAAATAACACAATAATATTCTCACGACGTTTCGGCCACAACACAAGCGGCCTTCATCAGGTGAAGGGACGAGACTGTCTGGTAGGACAGCGCTGTCCTACCAGACAGTCTCGTCCCTTATTTTATTCTCATTCTACGTGGTGACTTTACCGAAAGAACCTAAAAAATGTTGACACTTGGCAAGCGAGGTCTCATGATGTAGCTGCCTGACCCGAGCTCTCAATGTCGTGATAGTGGTGGCATTGTCCTTGGTGCTCTTCGTTTTTTTGGCATCGTCCTCTGGCCTAACGCCGTTTGAGACTAAGCTCTAAAGAAAGCTGTCTCTGGTGTGGGCCAGTCAGTTTCAAAGACAATGGCATGTTCACCACAAGTATAACAGTTTTGATTTAAAGCTTTCGTGACTGCAGGGATTCATATTCTTGGTTCTTTCGGTAAAGTCACCACCACGTAGAAGGGAACACACTAAAATAATAAAAATCTAAAACAATATTGTTTTGATCTTCTTTGGTTCTTTCGGTAAAGTCACGTAGAATGAGAATAAAATAATAAAATAAGACAATAAAATTCTCAAGACGTTTCTGCCACAACACAAGTGGCCTTCTTCATTGAAGCGCTGTCGTCCCGACAGTTTTGTTCCTTCACCTGAAGAAGGCTGCTTGTGTTGTGGCCGAAACGTCGTGAGAATTTTATTGTCTTATTTTATTCTGTTATTCTCATTCTACGTGGTGGTGACTTCACCGAAAGAACCAAAGAAGATGAATCCTTGCAGTTCCCGAAAGCTTTAAATCGAAATATTGTTTTGAACCAAGAACACAAGTATAATTACAGTTAATGATTACTTGCAAAGGGTTTCTGTTTGGAGTTTTAAACATCTTAACACGGCTGTTTTATTACTGCCAGAAAGGGTGAAACTTTATTTTTTATTTTTAAAATGTTGACACTCGCAAGGGAGGTGCCATGATGTATTTTAAACGGCACGCGGTGGAGGGGATCTCTCTTGTAACGAGCTAGGACGGAAGCTGTAATCTTTACGGAAAAAATTGAGTGCAGTCGTAACTTGTGTAAATTTAATGGCGGTGAATCTTGCACGAAATCACGTCGTCAAACGCTTCACTGCATTTCACTGTAGCACTGGAGGGGGGGCGGGTCCGTGCGGAGTGACGTCACCTGCTCATGATTATTAATGAGGGGGGGGGGCGGGTCCATGCGGAGTGATGTCACCTGCTCATGATTATTAATGGTGAGGGGGTGGGTCCGTGCGGAGTGACGTCACCTGCTCATTATTAATGAGGGGGGGGCGGGTCCGTGTGGAGTGACGTCACCTGCTCATGATTATTAATGAAGGGGGGGGGGCGGGTCGACGTGGGGTGACGTCACCTGCTCATGATTATTAATGAAGGGGGGGGGGTCCGTGTGGAGTGACATCACCTGCTCATGATTATTAATGAAGGGGGGGGGGCGGGTCCGTGTGGGGTGACGTCACCTGCTCATGATTATTAATGTCGTAACTTCCTACCCCGGGGGGTTACCCCCCCCCCTCCTCCTGTTTGCCCTTTGCCCGTGCAGGTTTACGTGGGGGAGCTGCCCCCCGACTTCCTGCGCCTCACCCCCACGGCCGAGCAGCAGCAGCTGCTCCTGGACGAGGCCACCGCGCAGAGGCTGCAGTACGGGATTCCCGCGGGGGTTCCCGCGGGGGTGCCCGGGGGGGTCCCCGGGGGGTTCCCCGTGGGGGTGGCCGGAGGGGCGCACCTCCCCACCACGGGCAGGCTTAGCCTCACCATCGTGCAGGTGAGTGGCGGGGGGGGGGGTAGGGGGGTAAGGGGGAGGTGAGCGATAGGGGGTAGAGATAATACGGGATGCTTGGGGTGAGCGCGCGCGAACATATAAATGCGTTGTGTTGTTAAACGCGCCACCATCCGACACGGCCAATCGGTAGGGGGGTTTGTGTCACGTGAACAGAGCGTGCCATCCATAATACAGGGTTTTTCTCGTGGATAAATCGCGTCGGTATGTAAATGTTGCATCGTTAGACCCGCCACCACCCGACACGGCCAATGTGTAAGGTTTGTCACGCGAACAGAACGTGGCCAATTCGTTACGGATTTGTGTCTGGCCGTTGCCCGATGGAGCTGGTTGTAATTGCTGGCGAAACGTCACGATACTCCGATTGTAAATGTTGTGGCTTGGCTCTCCAACACACCGGTGTAGTGCTGTACTAGTATACTACACTATACACTACACTATACACTACTATACACTACACTATACACACTACACTATGCACTACTATACACTACACTATACACTACTATACACTACACTACTATACACTACACTATACACTATTGTACACTACACTATACACACTACACTATACACACTACACTATACACTACACTATACACTACTATACACTACTATACACTATACTATACACTATACTACTATACACTACACTGTACACTACTATACACTACACTATACACTACACTATACACTAGTGCTGTACTAGTAAAGAATTGGCACGTTCTGTTTACGTGACAAACCTTACTAATTGGCTGTGCCGGCGGGTTTAACGACGGAACAACATTACATATTTACGCGATCTAACCACCAAAAACCTGTGTTATGGATGCTATTGGTCGGGAAAGCCTTCGTGTTAAACAGGAGGTAGGGATATTGGCGGTGTTGTGATTGGATAGTGTTAGGGGTGGGTGTGTTTAGGGGTAGTGTATAATGGGATAGGGATAATGTATAATGGGGTTGTGTGTAATGGGATAGTGTTAGGGGTAGTGTTTAGGAGTAGTGTTAGGGATAGGTGTAGTGTATAATGGGGTTGTGTTAGGGGTAGGCTTAGTGTGTAACGGGATAGTGCTAGGGGTAGTGGAGTTAGTGATGCACACACACACACACACAGCTGGTGAGCCAGGCCACTCTTTGCAACTGAGGTTCCTCTACCCAGGGCCTCTTTGTCCGCCTGGTCACGGAGGGTCAGCCTGACAAGTGACCTTCACTAAACTACTAAACTGGTGGTGTTGTTGTTACCAGGTGTAAGGCCCCCACTGATCTGCTGCTGAGTAGGTGCACTTTTTAGAACCCTGGGCCATCACAAACGATAGCAGCTCAACCGAGTGGCTGATGTCATCATCATCATCATCACCATCATCACCACCACCATCATCATCATCACCACCATCATCACCACCATCATCATCATCACCACCATCATCATCATCATCACCACCATTATAATCACCACCATAATCATCACCACCATCATCATCACCACCATCATCATCACCACCATCATCATCATCACCACCATCATCACCACCATCATCATCATTACCACCATCATCATCACCACCATCATAATCACCACCACCATCATCACCACCATCACCACCATCATAATCACCACCACCATTACCAGCAGCAGCCAAATATTCCAAAAGCGTGGTGACGTTTATTCAAAATTTGGATGGAATCACCGGAGGACCAGGAGAAAACATCCACGGAGTGACCACATGGAGAGAGAGAGAGAGACGCAGACTCCAAATCTACAGCGGCAGCAGGCGTCGTCAGGGTCGGGATAGAACCCACGACCTCCTGTATACCAGTCGAGGTAGTCAACATCTCCTAGCCACCGTGATCATGATGAGAGAGAGAGAGAGACGCAGACTCCAAATATACAGCAGCAGCAGCAGAGCGTCGTCAGGGTCCGGATCGAACCCACGACCTCCTGCACACCAGGCGAGGTAGTCAACATCTCCTAGCCACCGTGATGATGATGATGATGAGAAAGAGACGCAGACTCCAAATATACAGCAGCAGGCGACGTCAGGGTCAGGATCGAACCCACGACCTCCTGTATACCAGGCGAGGTAGTCAACATCTCCTAGCCACCGTGATGATGATGATGAGAAAGAGACGCAGACTCCAAATATACAGCAGCAGGCGTCGACAGGGTCGGGATCGAACCCACGACCTCCTGCACACCAGGCGAGGTAGTCAACATCTCATAGCCACCGTGATGATGATGATGAGAAAGAGACGCAGACTCCAAATATACAGCAGCAGGCGACGTCAGGGTCAGGATCGAACCCACGACCTTCTGTATACCAGGCGAGGTAGTTAACATCTCCTAGCCACCGTGATGATGATGAGAGAGAGACGCAGACTCCAAATCTACAGCAGCAGCAGGCGTCGTCAGGGTCGGGATCGAACCCACGACCTCCTGTATACCAGGCGAGGTAGTCAACATCTCCTAGACACCGTGATCATGATGATGAGAGAGAGAGACGCAGACTCCAATTCTACAGCAGCACCAGGCGTCGTCAGGGTCTGGGATCGAACCCACGACCTCCTGTATACCAGGCGAGGGAGCTAACATCTCCTAGCCACCGTGATGATGATAATGATGATGATGAGAAAGAGACGCAGACTCCAAATATACAGCAGCAGCAGCAGGCATCGTCAGGGTCGGGATCGAACCCACGACCTCCTGCACACCAGGCGAGGTAGTCAACATCTCCTAGACCACCGTGGCGCCCCAACGCCTCCTCACCCCCCACCACCACCACCACCACCCCACCCCCACCCGCAGGCGAAGCTCGCCAAGAACTACGGGGTGACGCGCATGGACCCGTACTGCCGCGTGCGTCTGGGCTACAGCGTCTACGAGACGCAGAGCGACTACAACGGCGCCAAGAACCCGCGCTGGAACAAGCTGCTGCAGTGCGCCGTGCCGCCCGGCGTCGACTCCTTCTACCTGGAGGTGTTCGACGAGGTGGGGTGGAGGGTAGGGGGAGGGGGGGCGGGTGGGGTGGGGGCGCCTGTGACCGTACCTCACCGCTCCCCCACGCGCGTGTGTGTGTGTGTGTACGCCACATGTGTGTGTGTGCGCATGTGTGCGTGTGTGTGTGTGTATACGCCACGTGTGTGTGTGTGCGCGTGTCTGTGTGCGCGTGTGTTCGGCGTGTGTGTGTGTACGGCGTGTGTGTATATGGCGTGTGTGTGTACGCCACGTGTCTGTGTGTGCGCGTGTGGGGGAGCGGTAGTGGTGTAGCGGTTAGCGCCACGCGGCCAACACCGGTGACGATTATCTGAACCGGTCCTGGGCCTCCCCTAGGTCGACTCAGCCTCAGATGAGTGCCTTGTGCGGTGTGTAAACATCGCCACTGGGTAGACAAAGGCGGCCGGGCGTGGTGCTGGCCACCCACCCCCTCGTGTGCCGTACCGGCCTTCATAGGTGGTGCTCGCTAACAGCACTTGCCCCTACAGTCTGTTAAGGCTACACGGGGGATCCTTGTCTTTTTTGCGTGTGAGAGTATGTGTATGTACGTGTGTGTGTGTGCGTATGTGTGTGTGCGTATGTGTGTGTGTGTACGTACGTGTGTGTACATACGTGTGTGTATTTATGTATGTACGTGTGTGTATTTATGTATGTACGTGTGTGTGTGCGTACGTGTGTGTGTGTACGTACGTGTGTATGTACGTGTGTACGTGTGTATGTACGTGTGTGTGTATGTACGTGTGTACGTACGTGTGTACGTACGTGTGTACGTACGTGTGTATGTACGTGTGTACGTACGTGTGTACGTACGTGTGTACGTACGTGTGTACGTACGTGTGTGTACATGTGTGTGTACGTACGTGTGTATGTATGTACGTGGTACGTACGTGTGTATGTATGTACGTGGTATGTGTGTGTGTACGTACGTGTGTGTGTGTATGTACGTGTGTGTACATACGTGTGAGTGTGTGTACGTGTGTATGTACGTGGTGTGTGTGTATGTACGTGGTGTGTGTGTATGTACGTGGTGTGTGTGTATGTACGTGGTTTGTGTGTATGTACGTGGTTTGTGTGTATGTACGTGGTGTGTGTATGTACGTGGTGTGTGTGTGTACGTGGTGTGTGTGTGTACGTGTGTGTGTGTACGTACGTGTGTGTGTGTGTGCGTGTGTATGTATGTACGTGGTGTGTGTGTACGTGGTGTGTATGTACGTGGTGTGTATGTACGTGGTGTGTATGTACGTGGTGTGTATGTACGTGGTGTGTATGTATGTACGTGGTGTGTGTATGTATGTACGTGGTGTGTATGTATGTACGTGGTGTGTGTGTATGTACGTGGTGTGTGTGTATGTACGTGATGTGTGTGTGTATGTACGTGATGTGTGTGTGTACGTGGTGTGTGTGTGTACGTGGTGTGTGTGTATGTACGTGATGTGTATGTACGTACCGGTCCAGCTCCCGCCTTACCATCAGCCCCACAAAAACTAAGCACCTGCCTGGGTATTTTGTACCATCGGACACTCCTCCCCCACAACTCCCAATCGGTGATGGGGCAGTTGTGGAGAGAGTGGAGAGTTTCCCATACCTGGGCAGTGTGCTTATGACTGGCTCCAGTTTAACAGCAGAGGTCTCACTCCGAATCAGTCGAGCGGCAATATCTTTTCATCGGTTGCGTAACGCTGTGTGGAAGCTACCTGGTCTGTCGCTCCGCACTAAGCTTCAGGTCTTCTCGGCCACGGTCATTCCCTCCCTTCTCTACGCTTGCGAAACGTGGACCCCCCTAATGGAACATCTTCGCCGGTTAGAAACATTTAGGCTGGCCTGCCTACGATCCATCCTGGGTTTAACCAGACTGGATTGTGTGAGGAGCTCACAAATCCTTGAAAGATCTGGGCAAGGTCCCATCGGTGAGCTCCTCCGGCGGGCAAGGCTGTGATGGCTGGATCATGTAGCCCGCATGCCCAGCCACCGCATGCCGAAACAGCTTTTGTTCGGCCGGATTGAGGGGGCAAAGCGGGCGCGGCATGGGCTAGAGAAGAGATGGAGTGATGTGGTACAGGAGGACGTGGAGCTGAGTGGACTTGCCGATGACTGGTACCAGCGGTGTCAAGATCGGCCTCTGTGGAGGAGGCTTGTGAAGGATGCTACTGGGCAGTTAGAGGTAGTCGCCCTCCAACAACAACGGAGGGCGGAGGAGCGACGCTCACAACAACGAGCGGAGCGCCGGGTGGCTAAAGCACAGCAGGTTGGCACAGTAGGGGGCACAGGTGGTGCATCAGCCAGTCATCTCAGTCAGTCGACCCGTGGCACCTGGGTCTGCCCCGTGACCTCCTGCCAGCGGGCGTTCGACACTTCACGTGGCCTCCGGGTGCACATAGCCTGGCACAAGCGTCGTGGTGACGTCACTGCCACTTAGTGGCGAACGGCGGTTGTTGTTGTTGTATGTACGTGGTGTGTGTGTATGTACGTGTTTTGGTATGTACGTGGTGTGTATGTACGTGGTGTGTGTGTGTGTGTACGTGGTGTGTATGTACGTGGTGTGTGTGTGTGTGTACGTGGTGTGTATGTACGTGGTGTGTGTGTATGTACGTGATGTGTATGTACGTGGTGTGTGTGTACGTGGTGTGTGTGTGTGTGTGTCAGCGGGCGTTCTCCGTGGACGACCGCATCGCGTGGGCCCACGTGCCCATAGGGCCCGGCGTCCGTGACGGCCTGGTGCAGGATGAGTGGTTCCCCCTGAGCGGCAAGCAGGGGGACGACAAGGAGGGCATGATCAACCTCGTCATGACCTACGCCGTGAGTCGCCCCCCGCCCCCCCCGCTCGCTCACCCCGTAGACCTTTTTGCTTGCCCACTCGCTCACCCGTTTGCTCGCTCACTCAGCCATTCGCTCGCTGACCCGCTCGCTCACCTGCTCGTTCACCCGCTCGCTCACCCGCTCGCTCACCCGCTCGCTCACCTGCTTGCTAACCCGCTCGCTCACCCGCTCGCTCACCCGCTCGCTGACCCCGTAGACCTTGTTGCTTGCCCACTCGCTCACCCATTTGCTCGCTCACTCAGCCATTCGCTCGCTCCCCCGCTCGCTCACCCGCTCGCTCACCCGCTCGCTCACCCGCTCGCTCACCCGCTCGCTGACCCCGTAGACCTTTTTGCTTGCCCACTCGCTCACCCATTTGCTCGCTCACTCAGCCATTCGCTCGCTCACCCGCTCGCTCACCCCGTAGACCTTTTTGCTTGCCCACTCGCTCACCCGTTTGCTCGCTCACTCAGCCATTCGCTCGCTCACCCGCTCGCTCACCCGCTCGCTCACCCGCTCGCTCGCCTGATGCTCGCTCACTCGGCCATTTGCTCGTCCAATCGCTCGCTCCCTCCCTCACTCGCTTTAGCCAATTTTGCTCGCCCACCAGCTCGCCACACGTGCGTGTGACGCATGTCACGCGTGTGTCACGTGTGTAACGCATGTGTGTGTGTGACGCTCGCGTGTGTAATGTGTGTGTGTGTGACGCATGCGTGTTTAACGTGTGATGTGTGTGTGTGTGACGCATGCGTGTTTAACGCATGTGTGTGTGACGTGTGCGTGTTTAACGTGTGTGTGTGACGTGTGTGTGTGACGCATACGTGTTTGACGTGTGTGTGTGTGAGACGCATGCGTGTTTAACGTGTGACGTGTGTGTGACGCATGCGTGTTTAACGTGTGGCGTGTGCGTGTGTGATGTGTGACGTGTGCGTGTGTAACGTGTGTGTGTGACGTGTGCGTGTTTAACGCGTGACGTGTGTGTGTGTGTGTGTGTGACGCATGCGTGTTTAACGTGTGATGTGTGTGTGTGTGACGTGTGCGTGTGTGACGTGTGCGTGGTTAACTTGTGACGTGTGTGTGTGACTCATGCGTGTTTAACGTGTGACGTGTGTGTGTGACGTGTATGTGTGTGTGACGCATGCCTGTTTAACGCGTGACGTGTGTGTGTGTGACGTGTGTGTGTTTAACGTGTGACGTGTGTGTGTGTGACGTGTGCGTGTGTGACGTGTGCGTGGTTAACGTGTGACGTGTGTGTGTGTGTGACGTGTGTGTGTGTGTGACGTGTGCGTGTGTGACGTGTGCGTGTTTAACGCGTGACGTGTGTGTGTGTGTGACGTGTGTGTTTAACGTGTGATGTGTGTGTGTGACGTGTGCGTGGTTAACGTGTGACGTGTGTGTGTGTGTGATGCATGCGTGTTTAACGTGTGTGTGTGTGTGACGCATGCGTGTTTAACGTGTGACGTGTGCGTGTCTCTCTGTGTGATGCAGGCGGTCCCCGCTGTGCACCCACACACGGTGCTGCTCATGCCGCACGTCCACGTGCAGGGCCTGGGCTACGTGCCCAGCACCGGTGAGAGACTCTAATCCATTACGCACTACACTACACTATACACTACACTATACACTACATTATACACTACATTATACACTACACTATACACTACACTATACACTACACTATACACTACACTACACTATACAATACACTATACACTACATTATACACTACACTATACACTACACTATACACTACACTATACGCTACACTATATACTACATTGTACACTACATTGTACACTACACTATACACTACACTATACACTACACTATACGCACTACACTATACGCACTACACTATACATGACACTACATTATACACTACACTATACACTACTATACACTACACTATACACTACATTATACTATATACATACACTACATTATGTACATACACTACACTACTATACACTACACTACACTATACACTACACTACTATACACTACACTACTATACACTACACTATACACTACACTATACACTACACTATACACAAGGACTACACTATATAAGTAGATTCCACTATACACTGCACTACGCTCTAGAATATACGCTGCGCATATACCACCACCACTACCACCATCATCACCACGACCTCCATCACCACCATCGTCACCACGACCTCCATCACTACCACCATCGTCACCACGACCACCATCAACACCACCATCAACACCATGACCACCATCACCACCATCGTCACCACGACCTCCATCACTACCACCATCGTCACCACGACCTCCATCATCACCACGACCACCATCACTACCACCATCGTTACCACGACCACCATCAACACCACGACCACCATCAACACCATGACCACCATCACCACCATCGTCACCACGACCACCATCACTACCACCATCGTTACCACGACCACCATCAACACCACGACCACCATCAACACCATGACCACCATCACCACCATCAACACCACGACCACCATCAACACCATGACCACCATCACCACCATCGTCACCACGACCTCCATCACTACCACCATCGTCACCACGACCTCCATCGTCACCATGACCACCATCACCACCATCGTCACCACGACCACCATCACTACCACCATCGTCACCACGACCACCATCAACACCACGACCACCATCAACACCACGACCACCATCAACACCACCGCCATCACCACGACCACCGTCCTCACCACGACCACCGTCCTCACCACCACCACCACCGTCCTCACCGTGAGCACCGTCCTCACCACCACCACCGTCCTCACCACCACGACCACCACCACCACCGTCCTCACCACCACCACCGTCCTCACCACCACGACCACCACCACCACCGTCCTCACCGTGAGCACCGTCCTCACCACCACCACCACCGTGCCCTCTCCCCGCCGTGCCCCCCCCCCCCAAGGCGTCCCGCTGGTTGCGAGTGCCGGCGGCGTGCCCACGATGTCGCCCGCGGGGGCCCCGTACATCCCCGTCAACCCCGGCATGACGGCCGCCCCCTCCACCGCCGCCGGGATGTTGGCGGCACCGGGCGGCCAGGCGCCGCCCCTCCACCCCGGCGCGGTGGCGGCGGCGGAGGAGGAGGCACGGGGGGTGGGGGCCCTGGCGGAGGCGTTCCCCCTCGTGGAGGAGGAGGTGCTGCGCTCCGTGCTGCACGAGAAGAGGGGCGACATCGCGGCCGCCGCCAACGCCCTCCTCGTCATGATGGGCGGCGGAGACGACGACGACGAGGGGGGAGGGGGCGGGGGCGGGGGCGGGGGCGGCGGGGGGGGGGGCGCGCGCTGACGGCGGGCTCGCCCGATCGATCGATCGCCCGATCGATCGATCGCCCGCCCGCTCGATCGCCCGATCGATCGCCCGCCCGATTGCCCGCCCGCTCGTCCGCTGCGATGGATTCTGCCAACTCGCCCGACTCCTACCCCGCCCCCCACCGTGATGGACTCTCCCGCAACAACCCCCCCCCACCATGATGGACTCTCCCGCAACAACCCCCCCCACCGTGATGGACTCTCCCGCAACAACCCCCCCACCGTGATGGACTCTCCCGCAACAACCCCCCCACCGTGATGGACTCTCCCGCAACAACCCCCCCCACCGTGATGGACTCTCCCGCAACAACCCCTCCCACCGTGATGGACTCTCCCACAACAACCCCCCCCACCGTGATGGACTCGCCCGCAACAACCCCCCCCCACCGTGATGGACTCTCCCACAACAACCCCCCCACCGTGATGGACTCTCCCGCAACAACCCCCCCCACCGAGATGGACTCTCCCGCAACAACCCCCCCCACCGTGATGGACTCTCCCGCAACAACCCCCCCCACCGAGATGGACTCTCCCGCAACAACCCCCCCCACCGTGATGTTCTCGCCCGCAACAACCCCCCCACCGTGATGGACTCTCCCGCTCCTGCCCCTCCCCCTATGATGGACTCTCCCACCCCACTCCCCCCCCATGATGGACTCTCCCACACACCCCCCCTCATCTTGCTATGATAGACTCTCCCGACCACCCCCCACCTTGCTATGATTGACTCTCCTGCCCCCGCCTCTACGATGGACTCTTCCCCCCCCCCCCCCCATGATGGACTCTCCCGCCCACCTCCCCCCCCTGCCCCCCCCCCCCCCCCCAACCTACCACCCTGCCTGCGACAGCTCTGCGACCGTGACCTCTTGCGTGACCCCTCCTCTCCGGTGACCTCCGCTCTCCACCGTGACCCCTACTCGGTGACCCCGCCCCCCAGTAGCGTCTCTCGGCGTGCTGACGCACCGACCTCGGAGGAACCCGTGTAAATATTCCGGAGGAATCCGGAGAGAGAGGAGGGGAGGGGGGGGGCGGGTGGCGGCGCTCTGCCAAGCCGCCCTCCTACGCAAGACTGCCTCGGCGGTCTTCACGGTGAGGCGTCTCTCTCCCTGTGTCTCTCCCTGTCTCTCTCTCTGTCTCTCTCTCTGTCTCTCTCTCTCTGTGTCTCTCTGTCTCTCTCTGTGTCTCTCTGTCTCTCTCTCTGTCTCTCTCTGTCTCTCTCTCTGTCTCTCTCTCGACCTGGCGCCGCCGCTCGCTCCACACTTCAGGGCACTCCCCCCCCCACCCCCAGCGGCAGCTGCCCCTGTGCAGCGGCCTGCCGCTAATCCGGGGTGTGCGCCCTGCGATTTGCTGCTGCTGCTGCCCGCCGCTGCTGCTGCAACCGGAGGCATCCACGCATGCACGGTGGCCACGAGGTGTCACCTGCCATCGCCCGCTTTTCAGGAGGTCGTCGTGGGTTCGACCCCGACCCCGACGCCCGCTTCTGTACATTTGGAGTCTGCGTCTCTCTTTCTCTCTCTCTCTCTCCCCGCGGTCGTGTGGATTTTTCTCCCGGATTTCTCCCGCCCCCTCCCGCCCCCCTATCCCTCCACATTTAGAGCGTTTTGCTGCGATGCGCTTCCCACACGGTGACGGTGATGGTGATATCGGCCGCTTCATTCGTCATGGCCACGTTCACCTCCTGAAACAGAGCGATGGAGCCCAGGCTGGCGGGGGGGGGGGGGTCTGACTTCGGTAAAATAAAAAGTGTTTAGTTGACACGCGGACAAAGATTCTCACCCCCCTATAGCCTGAACGGGCTGTTGGGGCAAGTGCCGTCTATCGAAGCGGCAGTGCTTTATGGGTGGTCTTTGTCTCTCCCCACGGTGGCGATGTGTTGTAGTTGGAGAAGGCCCTGGACCGGTTTTGGTAATGTAGCACGATTTTTTGTTGCTGGCTAGTAATTGTTATTTTCTTATTGCTTATGCCTAAAAAGTTAAGATAATTGCTATTATTATTATTATTTCCCCCCACCCCACAAATGTTGCTTTTGTGACCAGGACTTCACGTGAAGGAATGACACAGATGCTCACCACGTCTTCTCATTGAAAATAGGTAAACAAAAATTTGTAAAAATATATATATATATATCGCTGTCCTGGTCGCAAAAATCTTAAGTTTGTGGGTCACACTAAAAGCCACTTTGTGTACTTTTAAAGGAATAGGCAATTAGGAAAATAATACTTACTAACTCGGGAACCCCAAAAAATATACATTAGCTACGCAGTGTTATTAATGGGGAGTGGATTACAATCTTTGCTTTCGTGCCCCGGTCGCAAAAAAGTAAAGTTTGTGGGTAACAATAATAGCCATGACAATTTGGTTATTTCAGTGAAGTCGCGTGGGAAATAAATAAAAAATAAGATAGCTTAAAAGTCTGTACTTTTTTGAGGCATAAGCAATTGGGAAATACGCACACTTTTACTACCCATCAAACAAGAAAATATACGTAAACATAACACAGTAAAACCTTGGATTGCGAGCATAATTTGTTCCGGAAACGTGTTTGTTATCCAAAGCACTCTGTACATCAAAGCGCTCGTACCCG